TTTTAATTGATTGCGTGACCATATTTGATTTTTTTAAGGAGCGACCCTTTCCACGAAGTAAGCGATAGACATGAAATACTCGTATCGGTAGTACATCCCGATTGAGAGTGAAAACGTCATATCACTTATTATCCATACTGTCTTTTATGCGTCTAGCTATTGAAGCTACCTCATCATTCTCGGCTTCTGCACATTCATGAAGGAATGGCATGATTTCAACTTTCCAACTGCTCGTCCTGTGGCTATTCGCGAGCCAGAGGGAGTGAACACACTCTAATGCGCACTTCTGGATCGCTGCTTCGTCCTCTCGAGTGATCAATAGAGTCTCGATCAGTAACATCCTCAGAAGCGTGATGTCGTGGATAGTAATGCCTACGGCACCGAAAACTTCACAAACTTGATCTAGCATCCAGGGTCGTTGCCACGATGCTATAAACCGTATTTGTTGGACAAGTGATGGTATAAGTTTTCGTATATGCTCGTCCCGCCATAGTCCTGTATTTTTTTATCAACAAAAAGGAAAAGGATAAGGAACAAAAGAATGCCGATAAGAGAAACAATTGACAAGAATAACTTCTCGAGTAACACTTACCATTATCATCTATAGTAGTAGTTTGGACCAATAATTGCAGGAAACTCTTCCATAGTTCGAAGTTGGTTAACCCCGCCGTCTCGGTCCATCGTGACAATATTTCAGGTGAAATTTCAAGAAGGTTACTCAAGTATGGCGTAATTAAGGCCTACGAAGGCGCAGGTTTAGTTGTTTAGTTATTTAGTTATTAAAACCGATTCATCGACTATACATACCTTCAGAAGACTTGTTAGAGACTTCATCACCTGGCAAAATGCTCGGGCTCTGAATTCATAAAGGCCATCAAGGCCATCCCCAATGTACCATGCCCAATCGAATAAAATGCGGTATAGTGGCTTGAACGAGGTCTCGTTAAGCTTGACAACCAATTCGAGAAATGCTTGGATTGAAGGCGCTCCATCGGCGATGGAGACCTTGTTTATGTTAGTAGTCTGACTCCCAATCCAGTTGTTCCATTCACCTCTTGTTCATTCCAGGCGTCTAAGAACAATTGAAGTAAATGGCGAGATTCTGAAATGAGATACACCCTATCTCCAGCTTTGATAACTTGTCGCAATAGACTGAAAAGTTGTTCATTCGCGTCCACTCCATGCAAAAGGTTTTCCTTTCTATTTTTCCACAGATCGACGATAGCAGCGAGTAATGTACTCGTGGGAAGCCTCTTTGAGGCAAACTTCCCCAAACTGCTGACTGCATTGTCCGGGTCGATAATTCTAGCAGAATTAATGCAAAAGGAGATTAGGTGTTGGGAATCTATGGATGTCCAGAATGAGGAAGTGGATTCGAGGAGAATGAGCAGTAAGCTAGCGATTGCTGCGACATCCTCGGCAACTTTTTGAAGACATTAGATATGTAAAGGGCAATCTAGCTCTACTTACTAAGGCTCTTTAACTCGACAGTACCACAGAAACGAACTAAACTCGATATTTGAGGAATTATCCTTGGTCCAAGGGTTTGACTTTATGAGGGATCAACCAATAGCCAGCCTGAGGTGTAAAAGGACGTACCATAAGGATTCCAATGCACTTATAGAGGTTCTAGGAGAGATTAAAAGTTTGTCGATGACGGCGGGAACGACCTCCGTGAGGGTAGATAGCTCTGGAGGACATGATGACCGGGCTAACGTTGTCAACGCCATCAAAGCTGCAGTGCATAAATGTCCATCTTGTGACGTGGCAAGAGTTTCCTTGATATTAACTATAATCAACCGCATATCGGCCGTCAAACTTTCTCTGATTTGTAAATCGATATCCTGGACACGACTGGAAATGAGCTTGTAAAGTTCGATTTGGAGCTCATTGTCGTGAGTCCTTAACAGCTGGATACATGTAGAGATCATTGTGGGTGCCGAAACTACTCGGAGCGCGCTGGACAACGTCGTGACAAGGAGCTCTCGTAAACTCTGCAACTCGATCGTGGAGGGACGTGAGTTCACATTAGCAAGGAGTCGAAGGAGAGCGGAAAGTATGCGTTGAGATGCTTCCGTAGGCTCTGGTCGCGTTGTATCGTTCGAAAGGTGCAATACCTTGTCTACCAGTTCGATAATGTTTGTTGTCCGGATGTCGACTCCGACATTTGAATCCTCTCTTCTAATCGACATTAAGAGAAATCGAGTGACAATGTGATAATACAGACAAACCTTAGAGATGCAATGAATGTGGAATCCTGTGGAGGATGGGACAAAATCTCGAGAACTATTGCCTCTAAAAGGTCTGATATCCTCTGTAACATTATTAAACTTTGCGGGATGAGAACCGGTGATAACATACAATCATGCGGGATTCGAAAGGTTGAGAGCGGAGAATCTGCACAGCGAGATCAGTTCTACTTTCTTGTCGTCTGTTGTTTCCATCGGATGGTGTGTCAATTTCTACTAGCAGGAGGCAAACCGGGACCATGAATTCCGCTGCCCCGAAACTCGAAATCAAATGAAGGAAAAACCTGACAGGGTGATAAATAAAAGATTCCTTATTCTGGCTTTACTCTTACCGAAGACGACGATGAGATGGAATTGAAAGGGCGGCATCAACAAATACGTCAAGATAAGGACGCACAGCTATATTATTGGTTAGAACGATTAAGACACCACTATTGAACCACCTACCCATGAAAAGCTCTTCCTTTCTGGAATACTGTGAGTGTAGATGGGATATTAGGATAGGAATCACACTATCTAAAGTCTATCGGAGACTTAGTATTTATACTCAAGTATTCGAACATAGATACCTTTTCCCCGACTTTAACGCTATACACATCATCACGTGGAGAAAGGAAGCTACCGGTGGATATCACGATTGGCATGAGGTGGTGTAATATTGAATCCGTAGACAGAGGAGCAAGGTTGGCGACAAGCGCAAGTGCTTGATGGACGATGTGTGGGTTATTTGAATCTTCGTTGAAGATTAATGTTGTAAGTAGAAGAAAAAAAAATTAAGAGGAACACACCTTGGATTAATTTCACCAGTACATCGATCTGCAATTGCTTTCCTGATTGGGCAAGTAGCTTATGGCATCCGATTAGTATTCATGATTTGCAAAGGAGATATATATATCGTAATGCTTACCGAAGGACTCTGAGTGAAGTGCAATAAAGTTTCCATTATACTTTGCTGTGCAAAGATGATGTCTGCACTCTCCAAATCCTTAGTATTGACTAGGCCATCCAATCGATCAAGTAACACGCTAAGAAGCGCCGTGCTCTTCGGAGATATTGTTGCTTTCAAACCGTCGCAAATTACTGGAAGCTGAGATAATGATGTACTTGCAATAAATCAACAAAGGCTCCTATCAATCACTGGCACAGGGTCATACCTTTCAAACGGGGGCAGCGGCCCAGAATCATTCCTCCTGGACGGTAGCTGTATCATCTCAAGTAATGAGATAGCGACACTTTCGTCATCCAG